CTTGTTTGGATAATTACAACCACCCCCCTCAACTATGATTTTTTCTTACACCACCACCCTTATGGTGCCAAATTCAACATAATCATCTAGATTCCGTGGAATGTGCTCTAGTTTGTACTCGTTTTGTGTAAAAATACAGTTTTCGATGCACCACAAACTGATATATACAAGCTAAAAATCACATATTATGATCATCTTGCTTCAGAGCAACTCCAATGGAGGCATTAAATGAGGTATCAAACTAAAAAACTACCACTTTGATGCTCTAAAATTAAAAATTTCTCCTCCAATGGAGGCATTAAATGGAGAATTATTTTGATACTCAACCACCCGGAGGTGCAAAAATAATCCCTGGAAAATAAGGTATCAAAAATATAACCACCCAATTAACCTATCACTATTTGACACGTGGCGTTTAAAAATATAATTATTCATATATTTAAAATTTGATAATCTATTTGATACTTGTGATTGGAGTGAATTTTTTTTCAGGAAGTATCAAAGTATTATATCAAGTATCAAATGAATATTTAATGCTTCATTTTGATATCTCCCCATTGGAGTTGCTCTCATAATGTAGTGTTTGAATGGGATAAAACGGGTACAAAAATGATAATATTCCATATAATCTCGAAAATTCCACTAAATTTGAAGAGTTGAGGGGGCGGTTGTAATTATCCAAACAAGAGGGGTGTTTTTGTAATTTGACCATACCTCAGGGGGTGTTCTAAAATAGATTAATAATGTTTATTTTTAAATAACCGAGATTAATTTTAATAGAAGCCAAAACTAAAATAGTTTAATTTTATTTTTTAGTCCCAATTGATAGATTAAACTTGATTACTCCTATACCTCATCCTATGAGGTATGCTAAAATAATTTTAAGGTTCATGTAGTATCGGTTATTACAATCCTCTTCCCTGAAACATTGTTAGAAACACTAATGAAATAATGCATTGGATAAGTTATTCCGTTAGTGTTGAGACAACATAGAGCTAGGGGTGACACGACTCTTCTAACATTTCTTAAATCCTTATTATTTTATATAAGATTTATAAATTTTCGTCTATGGTAGCATTAACTGTCCGAGCGAAACAAATATAGTGCACATCGGTTCCCAATACATGAAATCTTGGTTGTAATTACCAATACCATATGAAACCTAAAGTTATTTTTAGTATACCTGATAAGTGTAGGTCTAATTTACCCTAAATTTAATAATACAAAACTTTTTAAATGTTAGAATAAAATAAAGGGTAAATTCTACATTCCCCTTGTACTTTGGCTCGATATCACTTTAACCCCTTCTATTCTCGAATGCATCCCTACACTTGAAAAATTGTCTCAATGTGGCCCTGGTTGATGCTTGTCAGACATTCAATCTTAATACCATTTAATCTAAGCTCTGAAATTACAAAAACGTCACCTTTCAAAGTTTAAATAATTGTTAAAAAAACAAAAAAATAAATAGAAAATTAAAAAAATAAATTAATAAAATATTCAAAACAACGAGAAAACATAGTCCACGACGCTAGCCACTATTTATTATTTATTATTTTTATTTTTTTAATAATTATTTAAACTGAGATGGGTGACTTTTTTGTAATTCTTACACTTAGAACAACTGGGGTTAAAGTCAAAGATTTGAAAAATAAAGGCGAGAGCCACATTGAGACAATTTTTCAAGTACAAGGGAATCGAGAGTATGATGGGTAAAATAATATCTAACCAAAGTACATGGGGGAAAGTGGAATTAACGTAAAATAAATACCCCTCTAGAAAAATGTTTAAGAAATTAGAATAAAATACTTGCCTTTGACTAGTCCTCAGCCGGGGTGCAAAGCTCTCTTACAAGCACATAAAGAGTAGGGTTTTTCGCGAGGGTTTAACGACGCCGTTTCCCAGCACCGCCGCCTGTAACCAGCCTTCCGCCGCCGCAGCGTTATCCTCCATCCAGCCCTAGGTACGTCGTTTTGCATTTGCTTCGTCCACTTCCGGTGAAATCTCTCTTCTAATTTAATTGATTTGATTGAACGCAGGAATAATGGGAAAGAAGGATAAATCTTCGAAACGAAAAATCAGGGACACCGATGTAGCTACTGGGATTTTGTCTCACGACGGTAAGTTCAGAGATAAATTTTTGATTCCGATTTTTACGGTGGGATTGTGAATTAAATTCGCAGTATGTTTATTCATCGAAGATTTTCTTTTTTCATAGGAAAAAAATTGAAATTGTGTGAGAGTTTCAATTGAAGTTTAATTTTATTTTACATTGCTTGTAAATTGGATTATCTCTTTTACGAATTGAATATTCTAAGGAAGAACAATTGTTTGTTCGAATGGGCGATAATTATTAAGTTTTATTGCGACTTCGTTCGAAGGTCTTGTAGATAAAGATGTAAATGAAGTGATGGATGACTTGAGTGAACCGACGATGGGTGAAAAGCTTGCAAGCCTGAAATTGGAAGGGAAGGACAATGCATTAATCGAGGATTTAAAGCCGCCTAGTGCGGACTCGATTTATATCTTACTGAAGCAAGCACTCCGATCGGAAGATCGAGCGCTTCTTATAGAATGCTTACACAGACAAGATGAGAAGGTTCTAATTGTTTCACTCTCGTTTTCTGAAAGATGCTCTCGTTTAATATATAATAATAACATGATGCATTGTTGCACTGCAGGTCATTTCGAATTCGTTGTCGGTGCTGAATCCTTCTGATGTTCTCGTGTTCTTACATGCTCTCGTACCGATTATTCAGTTGAGGTGAGAAATCGAAAAGAAGTGTCTGTACAAATTGAAACATATATTTGATACGGAGCTGTATTTCTTGCCTCGTTAGTTCTTGAAAACTCGCATATGAACGTATTATTTGCAGGGGGGCTGTCTTGGCTTGCGCTATTCCATGGCTCAGAAGTTTACTTCTCCAGCATGCAGGCAGTATAATGTCTCAAGAATCTTCGTCTAATGCGCTGAACTCGATATATCAGGTTAGAGAAGGATATATATATATATATATATATATATATATATATATATATATATATATATATATATATATATATATATATATATATATATATATACACTCTCTATATTTTACACACGCTCAAAAAAACAGAAAAAAACAAAAAATATATATATATAAGAGGGGCGCGCGCGCGCTCGCAAAATTTCACGCGCGCGCAAACAATCGCGCGCGCGCGTCTCATTGCCCGCGCCA